ATATGTCCCACTTTTATTTCTGCTTGTCAAGTATTTTCAATAAGAAAGATCAGAAAAGAACTGTCTGACACAGTCTTTAGTGGAAAAGCATGCATGTTACAAAGTTTACTGGCAATCGTGAAACTGAAGAAAGTACCTATCATCAGTGTGCCTAGTATGAAACTCCTATTGAAGTCCTTCCTTCCTTCCTTCCTTCTGCATTGGACGCTTTGGATCAGGCTTGCTTGGAGCTGCGTGGGGCGATCCTGAGCATAAGACTCCCCGCCTTCGTATCTATTTCTTTTCTGACTCCCACCTGTCTAAAGGTCTCTTGCTTCCATTTATCTCCCTTTCTGATTCTTTCTTGCATTTTTTCTTCTTTTTCTCTGCTCTCTTTTTCTCTGCTCTCTGTCCCCTCCCCCTTTACTTCTGGTTTCTTTGTCTGCAAGTTTCAACTTTACAGCTTTTTTCGTACTGTTTCTTGTTTCTTTCTTTCTTTTCTGCTTGTTTGTTGTGGGGAGTTATCTTTTTTCTATATCTTACCTTTTGAGGGGTGCTCTCAATCCCCCGCCCCCTTTTCTTTTTTGACTCCCTATGTTGGGTTAAGGTCTTCATAGATGCCCTAGCTGGTCTCCTAGGACAGCGTAACATATGTTACGCAGATTGTGTTAACATAGTCCCAGTGATTTACCTGAGCACTTCCACCCTGGTCAGTAGGGTGTATGCGGAGGGCCTGGACATCGGGGGCGTACACTATCTTGTCATGCCCCTAGACACCCAGGCAGTGAGGGTGGTGATTTCCAATGTGCCCCCACATGTGACCGACCAGGAGCTGGCCAAGGAACTTTAGCTCTATGGGGTTCCTATGAGTCTCTTTTGCCGACTGACGATCAGAAACAAGGACCCAAAGTTGAAACATGTCCTGTATTTTCAAAGACAGGTTTTCATGCTCCTCAGGGAGGGCCCGCAGTCTCTGCCTTGCTCTTTGAACCTCATGTTTGATGGGCAGAGGTTTGTGATTTATTGTTCCTTGGGGGAGACCATGTGTTTATAGTGTGGTAGCTCTTCCCACCTAGCAGCCCAGTGCCTGCAGGGGAAAGCGACCAAAACATCGGTGACTGCAGTGGTGCTGACAGATGGCACATCCACTTCTGGGACACAGGCCCCGCCCAGTGAGGACAGGAGCTCTTCCTGACCTCCTTTCACCCCTGTTCCATCCAAGGAGGCTGGGGTCTCTGGCATAACAGCACCATCCAGTGGAGGGGCTAGGACTACTCCCCAGACCTCTCCCCCACCCATTCCACCCAGACACAGTCAGTCCCGCAAGCACCCATGGCATGAGTTTTGCTTGTTCGCAGCTTGAGGGGCAGTTCCCTCCAGACCCCTGCACTTATCTCCTTGAAACTTTACAGGCATTGTGACCTCAGTAAGAGCTACCACCTCTGCAGTTTTCACCCCCCTGTGGTGTGACACACAGCCGTGACATGTTTGGCTTTCAAGAATTTGGGGTACAGTTCCCCCTAAGCCCCTAAATCAATATTCTTGAAACTTGGCAGGTTTTATGCTCTCAGCAGAGGCTACCGTATCTGCAAGTTTCATTCAAATCAGACAAGAAACAACAAAGTTATAGCTATTTCATTGATTCCCCTTTATACCCTACGGCTGGATCTCTGAGGTGGCTCCGAAGCTTCGGAGCCACTTCGGCCAGATTGAGGCAGAAACCCCGGCTGGAGCTC